TATTGGGGAGAATAACTTATTTTCTTCTGTAATTTCACAGGCTCTGGCCAATTGGTTAAAATAACCCTCTGATGAAGAGAAGTGCGATTAGCGGGGGCAACTGAAGACATGATGTCTTTTTAATAATCTCCCCACCCTGGCGCTCCCCTGAGTTTGAAGACCTGATTGCGCCAGCAGACCTGAGAAAAAGGGCCAAGCGCGCTAATGGGGAGAATAAGCGCCCGTCCGCTTCCACAGCAGTCCTACCCAGAACATCTGATTGTGCAAAACACCAGGGGTTCCCAAACTTTTTAACTCGGCCCCCCCTCCAGCATTCGTGCATGCGCGCACGCTCCAAGTCTATTTCTATGGGCACAAGCACTGTTCATGACACAAACGGTTCACGCCCCTCTTGTTGGTGGAGAGAATTTTTCAGGTTCAAAGCTTATTTCCTGCAATTCTACACATTTTGTCATGGGGTGCAAAGAACATTTTGCAGTTTTGAAGCAAATGTTCTTGCAATTCTATACATTTTGCCATGTCTAATGTGTATTCATGTGATATTTGAGAGACAAAAAATTACAACAATATCTATGGGCTAAAAACGTTAGCTGACATGGGCTAGTTGATTTGGACATTTCTGACAAGTTATAAATAGCTTTCTAAGGTATGCAATGACTAACATACCCAATTTCGAAATTGCACCTTGTGCATTCTACTATTACAACTTTCAAGAGTAAGTTTAAAGCCGGACTGAGTTCCTTAAAAAAATCTGCAGTATATATTATAATTTTTTTGGGGGGGGGGGATCCCTGTGCCCATCCTGTCGACCCCTCGTGCCCCCCCCCCCCCCCCCCCCCCCCCCCATAGAACAAGCCCCACAGTTTGGGAATCACCTGCACCTTAGAGACTATTTTCACTGACTCCACACCTGCTTCTCAAGATACAATTTGCACTGACTCCCACTCATACACCCACCCTTACCTATAAAGTATACACACACACAGAGAACATTACCCTATTATTTTTACTACTCTTTATTACTCATAGTTAAAAAAATAATAATCTTGATATTGTGTATTTTTTTATGAATGTGTATTGTATGGAGGACCAGACCTGCCATAATTAGAGTAAAATAAATAAATGCACAAATAGATAGATAAATATATATATTTACATGTTTTGTCATTTAGCAGACACTCTTATCCAGAGCAACTTTCAGTTAGTGAATGCATACATTTTTATTTTTATTTTTTCCTACCCCCTGTGGGAATCGAACCCACAACCCTGGCGTTACAAACACCATGCTCTATCAACTGAGCTACATCCCTGCAGGCCATTCCCTCCCCTACCCTGGACGACGCTGGGCCAATTGCGCGCCGCCCCATGGGTCTCCCGGTCGCGCCGGCTACGACAGAGCCTGGATTCGATATATATATAAATACATCCACACATAATTAAATAAATGAGCAAGGAAATGCAAAAATACTGACTACAATTAATTAATTTTCTCTACATATCTGTATGTATTTAAATATGTATCTATGTATTATCTAATTATTAACTTTAATTCATTTTTTTTCATTTATACATTTATCAAATGTATTTATTTCTGTATTTATTCCTCCAATATGACAATGAGGGGGTGTCAATCAAATGTCTGTGGGTGGTATCAGGCACACCTATATTTGGGGAGTTTCTTCCATTCTTCTCTGCAGATCCTCACAAGCTCTGTCAGGTTTGATGGGTAGCGTAGCTGCACAGCTTTTTTCAGGTCTCTCGGGTTCAAGTCCGGGCTCTGGCTGGGCCACTCAAGGACATTCAGAGACTTGTCCCGAAGCCACTCCTGTGTTGTCTTGGCTGTGGGCTTAGGGTCGTTGTCCTGTTGGAAGGTGAACCTTCACCCCAGTCTGAGGTCCGGAGCAGGTTTTCATCAAGTATCTCTCTGTACTTTCCTCCGTTCATCTTTCCCTCGATCCTGTCTAGTCTCCCAGTCCCTGCCGCTGAAAAACATCCCCACAGGATGATGCTACCACCACCATGCTTCACCGTAGGGATGGTGTCAGGTTTCCTCCAGACGTGACACTTGGCATTCAGGCTAAAGAGTTCAATCTTGGTTTCATCAGACCAGGGAATCTTGTTTCTCATGGTCTGAGTGTCCTTTAGGTGCCTTTTGGCAAACACCAAGCGGGCTGTCATGCTTTTTACTGAGGAGTGGCTTCCGTCTAGCCACTCTACCATAAAGGCCTGATTGGTGGAGTGCTGCAGAGATTGTTGTCCTTCTGGAAGGTTCTCCCATCTCCACAGAGGAACTCTGGAGCTCTGTCAGAGTGACCATCAGGTTCTTGGTCACCTCCCTAACCAAGGCCCTTCTCCCCCGATTGCTCAGTTTGGCCGGGCGGCCAGCTCTACGAAGAGTCTTGGTGATTCCAAACTTCTTCCATTTAAGAATGATGGAGGCCACTGTGTTCTTGGTGACCTTCAATGCTGCAAAAAATTTTTTGTACCCCTTCCCCAGATCTGTGACTCAACACAATCCTGTCTCGGAGCTCTACGGACAATTCCTTCGACCTCATGGCTTGGTTTTTGTTCTAAAGGCTGAAAAACATACACACTACCAGGTACTTTCCACAGGTGCTGGAGTTGTAGGCAAATTCATGAAAAACAGAAAGGAAAACATGCACTGACATGCACTGTCAACTGTGGGACCTTCTATAGACAGGTGTGTGCCTTTCCAAATCCTGTCCAATCAATTGAATGTACCACAGGTGGACTCCAATCTAGTTGTAGAAACATTTCAAGGTTGATCAATGCACCTGAGGATGCACCTGAGGAAACAGGATGCACCTGAGCTCAATTTCGAGTCTCATAGCAAAGGGTCTGAATACTTATCTAAATAAGGTATTTCAGTTTTTTATTTTAAATACATTTGCAAACATTTCTAAAAACCTGTCTTCGCTTTGTCATTATGGGGTATTGTGTGTAGATTGATGAGTGAAAAAATAAATGTTATCTATTTTAGAATAAGGCTGTAACGTAACAACATTTTGAAAAAGGGAAGGGGTCCGAATACTTTCCGAATACACTGTACACCGGCGGGTCCTGGTGCCAATAAATTAGTAAAACCAAAAGCTTCCCTTGACTTGAAAGATTCCAGTGTTGTGTTGGATAGTCATAGCCAGCTAGCTAATATAGCATCCCTCTGTTTGAGTAGGGTGTTTGAGCAGGCTAAATTAGCTAGCTGCATTTGCTAGAAAAAAAAGCCAATATTGCTCTCTCTCTTTCTCTCTCTTCCTTCTCCTTCATTTTGGAAGAAATTAATTTGATCTAAGCTGTTCAACTATTGTCATTTTCTGCACTGCAGTTCTAGCTAGCTGTAGCTTGTGCTTTCAGAACTAGATTCATTATCTGATCCTTTGACTAGGTGGACAATGTCAGTTCATGCTGCAAGAGCTCTGATAGGTTGGAGGACGTCCTCCGGAAGTTGTCATAATTCCTGTGTAAGTTTATGGAAGGGGGTGAGAACCATGAGCCTCCTAGATTTTGTATTGAGGTGAATGTTCCCAGAGGAGGACGGAAGCTAGCTGTCCTCTGGATACATCATGGTGCTGCCCTACAGAGTGCTGTTGAGGCTACTGTAGACCTTCATTGCAAAACAGTGTGTTTTAATCAATTATTAGAATATATTTAGTATGGTTTTATCTAAAAAATATAACTTTTTTAATGTTTTACCATTTATATTTTTATGAAATTCACTGAGGAGGATGGTCCTCCCCTTCCTCCTCCAAGGAGCCTCCACTGCTGTGCACTTTCACCACCCTTTTTATGTTATTTAATCTATAGCCTAATAAACTGCATGGTTTCCCGAGTCGTAGTGGGAGGACCACACACCATATAATCACGTGACTCCAAGTCACTTTAACTCTACTCACATGTACATATTACCACAATTACCTCGACTAACCGGTGCCCCTGCACATTGACTCTGTACCGGTACCCCCTGTATATAGCCTCCCTACTGTTATTTTATTTTACTGCTGCTCTTGAATGATTTGTCATTTTTATTTTTTACTTATCTATTTTTTACTTAACACTTATTTTTCTTAAAACTGCATTGTTGGTTAAAGGCTTGTAAGTAAGCATTTCACTGTAAGGTTGTATTCGGCGCATGTGGCAAATAAAATCGTATTTTATTTTAGTTGATATGATGGTTTTTCTATCAATATTTGCGCATAAAGGCGTTTCCACCAACATTTCTCGCATAATACATTTTACAGACACAAAAAGATCCCACCATGTCGAACGAACAAATTATCTGTCTTCATTTATAAAATTCTATCGAAACTTCCTGTTTCCATCACAGCTGTCGTGAAACGGTATGACTTTACTCCACAAAAAACTGTGGAAGGAAACATGGAAATAGTCCCAGAGGTCTGAAATCTAGATCAACAGTAGATAATAATATAATTGGTACATGGCACTTGTCTACAAGCACAGGAAGTGACATCAGATTGTAGGAGCAGTTAGAAACCACAAGGCCCAAGTGACAGTGTTTCACCTCACATATTTGTCTCTGCTCCAACTGAACACAATTATCTTAAGGTTCAATAGAGGACACTTCAGAATCATTATAGAAATGTCTCTACTTTCTCTACATTCTTTACTTACTTTATTTAAGTAAGGGTGTCCATCACTTACAATTTTTTTTTCCAACTGGAAATGACTGGAGGAAAATAGTGTCTCTGTCAGAATTTAAGTATATGATTGATGCAAAAATTGTGAATACTTCTAACTCCTGCTGATGTATTGTGTTTTTTGTTGTTGTCTTGTTGTCATTGTAGTGTCAGTGACCGGGCAGAAACTATACCAGGAGATTTCATGGACTAGGACAGAGGGACAGGGTGTCTCCTTCAGCTGAAAATACAATGATTAGTGTAAAACTCATGTCTACTGGTACCAGAAGAAGGAGGGAGAACCCTTCACCTTGATTCTCGACATCCAAAAGGGTGATTGCGCTGTCTATGAAAGTTACAACACATCCTCAAATCGATGACTTCTCAGCCACGAGAAAGGAGTACAACAACAGTATTCTGATGATCCAGTCAGTTAAAGTGTCCCATTCTACCCAAAGTGAGAACTGATCCACACAGCCTGTACAAAAACGTTGTGGTTTAAATCAAGCTGTGAATTAATTAAAGTAAATGACATAATCAGAGGAACAGTTTGAAACGACACAACCCAGCTCATGCTGTTTCACCTCTCATCTTCCTAATTGACTATATGACCAAATCGTACTTGTGAAATCACTTCGATTTTTAATGATAATTAATTTTTCATATACATATTGTTCAACGTTATTTACATTTTAGAACATGTAGCTTTTGATTTACCCAATTCTTAACCACATATTCACTGAACATGGACTGTGGTATAATAATACACTCTCTTTTTTGGGGTAAGTGGTTCATCTAACCTGTATCCAAATATTTGAATGGATTAACTCTACTGTGAGTTTTTTAGTGATCCACTTCTGTTTTCATTGGCTGCTTCAGGGCAGAAGCTGCACCAAGACCAGATATCAGAGAGTAGGAGAGAGAGACAGAATGTCTCCTTCAGCTACAAAGTTACTGGTCGATGTAGCTTGAACCTTGTCCTCTGGTACCAGCAGAGAGAGGGTGAGTCCTTTGCTTTGATTCTATACATTGATTTTGATGACAATTCTGTCACCCTTGATACCTCTCATCCTCAGAGAGCAGATTTTTCAGTTGGGACCTGAAGATCCAGTCAGTTAAAGTGTCCCATTCTGCCATCTACTACTGTCCCTGCTATCGGGATTTGGGAACCCACAGTAAGAACTGATCCACACAGTCTGTACAAAAACTCTGTGGTTTTAATCACGCTGTGAATTCATGAAAAAGTTTATTCACAACAGGAAGTGACATAATCAGAGGTTGGTGCAGAGTGTGCAAAGTTAAATGCAATTCTAAAAGGCATTCCAAATACATCGGTGAGATGTCTTGCCAATGAGCAAACAGTGATTAAACTGCATCTTCCTGATGTGTCCTGTATACATTGTGTCTACATTTGGTAGAGGTGTGTGTGCTATCTGGGTATATTGTGAATATAGGATGGCTAAGGGGGTGTTCTTAGACACGGAGGAAGCAGAGTTGAAATGTCCAGTGATAGGTGGTCCTGGCTGACGATACGCCCATGGATCAGCAGTATTGATTGTATTTCAGGTACTTAACACAGATCATAAGCAGAATCTACCGTGCATCCAAAACAGATAAGTGAAGGTGCTGGAGGCAAAATGCAAAACTGGAATAACAGGAAAAAGTCTCTGCACACTTCCAGTCAGATGCACATTTATTTTAATAGTAGCTGAGCTTACGGTCAGTCAACCTTCATCAGAGCCCTACACAGGATGTTTCCTACCCAGAGTCAGTGGCAATTTACATAATTTTTTTATCATTATGATGTTTTTAAGTCAACTTTTACTTTTAGAAATCTGCAGTAGGCTTCATGTTCCAACTCATTCTTTGTGTGTATGTGTGTGTGTGTGTGTGTGTGTGTGCGTACGTACGTACGTTCATTGACTGTAAAGGGATGATTGGTCTGTTGATAACCTTGGAAATTATACATAGAGAACTATGTAACTATCTATTATGGCATGTGACATTTTTTTAAAAGCATGAGAAATTCTGTTAAGTGGTCTACCTTTGTACAGTAAGCACGAAACCTTTCAAGACACAATGCAGACTTTTTTTGACAAGGGAATTTTCACTGTGCACCTCATTAAAAGTATTTGTCTCTGGAAACGAAACTTTATGTGACAGGTAAGAGATCAATTGAGCAAACAATAGTCATTATAAATAATTTATAATGGATCTATGTCTAATCAGTTTCCAAAAGTATTGAGAAATCCTCCTGGAGTATCGCTCGGCAAGGATGCACTATTCATGATCAACCCATGTTAGAAAATTACAGAAATATTATGAATTTGAAGTTTGTTAATAGCCTGTACAATTGATCATTCAGATTTCCAAGGAAGGCAATACGCACAATATGTAGTTTATTGGATGTCTTTAATGATATACACCCTCAGTTAAATGTGTGATATAAATGTAAACTAATTTGATATAGGGCAAGAATCCATGTTGAACTGTTTACTGAGCTAAGAATTGTTTAATTCCTCACAAAGTTATGATTTTAATGTTATTGAAATAAGATATTCCATAAAGGATAGTTGTTATAATATTTTTTTAATGAGTTTTTACATGAGTTGGTAGTTTATTTATGTATGTAATTACGATTAATCTTGACAACAGTCTACATCTAAAGTCTGAATGTTTCCAGACTTAGTCAAGATCTCCTGGAAGCTGGAGGATGAAAATGGCCTAACAGTGGAGGTGCCCAAAGCAGAGAGGGAAGAGCTGGAGCAGAGGGAGGAAGGACAGACGGACAGAGTGATCATCATTGATAAAGGGAATACCTACACAAACAAATACAGCTGTTCTGTGAACCATGAAGGGGGCACTCAAGATGTATTATTTTAGTATGTATTTTCATTTTCATACATCATTATTTGTGTAATATCAATTTGTTTATGTATTCATCCATCTTAATGTAACGTGGGGGATGTAACAGGGTGAAGATTACCCTGTTACATAAAGATGGCATATCACCTATGCAAAGTAAAAAGGAAAGTACATAAACATTTGATTCACACTTTAATTGCATAGGAATGTTGTTGAGTTGGTTTAGCAAGTTTAAACAAACTATTATCCCTGACAGTGCATAATGCTATGAAAGTATACTGAACTATCCTTCCTTCCATCTTATTCTCAGAGGAACCAACTGAAGCTCCTCCAACCAACATGGCTGCAGCAACCTGTCCACCCAGAAATGACACAGGAGCCACTGACTCTGCAGGTTACCAATGGTAAAATGTACGTGTATTTCATGCCATTTTTGTCAATCTGAAAAATCCCTTCAAGTACCCACAACAGTAGACTATAGTACAGCGTTTCTCAACTTTTACTGTAGCAGTGACCGGCCAAACATAGTCCTCCTCACCACTGTAACTGTGCCTCTTTTGCCTCCATGTTGTGCAGTCTGTCTCTGCATGTTCTTTGTTGTCACTCTGTCTTTGTTTGTGTCTGTCTGTCACTCTGTCTGTCTGTGCTTCTCCTTGTTCTCCTCTGTTGTCACTCTGTTTGTCTGTCTGTCACTTTGTATTTCACTCTGTCTGTCACTCCTAAGTGTTCATTTCTATTACATATAGAGCCAACAAATTAAGGAACTGGCAGTACATCTGTGTCTCACTGTTTTCTTCCTACCTCCACTGCACTCACCTCTGAGCTGTCTCTGCTAAGCCTAGCATCCTTTCCCATAGCACTGGTACCAGAAGACCAGGGGACCACACTGTCTGTGCTTGGCCCAGCAACATCCTAGTTGTGAATGAATGAACACATTTATTAGATAAAGAATACCTGATAAAAGTCGAACTACTTATATTGCAAATATATGTGCCTGGCTGTCATGCATGTCCCCCCTATCTTAACGGTTAATTACAATTACATATATAATATAGATAATACAGTCTATCTCTCTCTCCCTCTCTGTTTTCTTCTATTGAATTCGATATAAAACCTCCCACTGGGCATAGTTGTCAATTCAACGTCTATTCCACGTTATTTCATTGAAATTAGGTGGAAACAATGTTGATTCAACCAGTGTGTGCTCAGTGGGCTTCTGTGTTTGTCATGGAACAATTCCGGGACTAGTTCATGTGGATGCTGATAGATTTCCAATGTTGTGCTTTGTCTGAAAGTGCCGCGTATGCGTGACTTTCCAGCCTCCAGTGGCTGTGTAATGTAATCCGACACCAGAGTCACTCGTTAATACAGCTCATAAACTAAGACCCACTCGCTGACTGAAGAGACTGAGAATTAGAAGCTAATAAACATTGATAAAACAATTAAAATACACAGACAGTGCCAGAATGTACCTTTAAACAGAGGATTATTTTGCTATTATTATGCATTAATTCAGTGTTGATGATGACTTGTATTTAATAAAAAGCAGTAGCACTGTCTAACAACTTTTTAGGCTATTGCAAGTTAGTGACTATCATATTTCTTCCCCCGAGTCCCCCCTTCCCTAATTAGGCCGAAGTGTTAATTAGCCTACTATTTCATACGATATACAGCCAAAATATGAACTGGCACCAATAGGCTACATCTGTGTCAGTGTGTGTCTTTCTCTGTTTTCTTCCTACCTCGACTGCACTGTCTTCTGCAGCAGCAGCTGATCTGTCGGTGCTAAGCCTAGCATCATTTCTCAGCACAGACACAGTCACAGCACTCGGACCAGCAGAACCAGAACTTTTAGAAAATAAGTCGTTCATTTCACACATTTAGCAGCACGACGATCCATAATCTTGGATGACTGATGACAGAGTCTCAGAGCGTGTCTCTTTGCTGATGCGCGTTTGACTTTGAATGTGACCACTGATCAGGCAGATGCTCAAATATTATAATAACAACAAAGAAATTGCCCAAAAATCATGAGAAAACAATTCTTAACAGGCCCATGGGCCGCCGGCTGTGTCCCTTTTATCATAATACTATTTTGTCAGTGTTTTCATTTTTTTTGCCAGCCCACCCAACAAAGGTTGGTCCGGCCCATCTGGCATTTTCCAGAATTGTCAGATGGACAATCAGCCCATGAATTGTTACTAGGTATATTAGCAACTTAATGTAGTGTAAGAAGGCTTTACTGAGATAAACAAAGTATATTAAATAAACAAAATGCCCTCACAACACAAGTAGATCACAACAAATGTCCATGGCAATATGTCTAATAACCTAACATACAGTATATAATAACACATACAAAAATTATTTTATGTTATTCGTGCACCATTTGAGTAGTTTGATTGATTTAGCCTAACAGTAACAAAATAAGCAACAGCACATTTTTTCAGTCACTATAAAAGTATGCATAGAAACAAAATCAAACATTTTAAAAGGGGAAAAAAAGTGTAATTATGAATGGCTGGATATATGGCTTCCTCTGACACCTTCCAGTCCATGTTTAGTCTGAACCTGGCCTCTCTGGCTTTCACAGTGATGATAGTGAAGAGCATGGTAGACTCAGCACCTGTAGACACATTCATTGAAACCCATTGGGCACAGACGTCAGTTCAATGTCTAGTTTTGATTTACATTTAATTGAGTTGTCAACTAATTCAAAGTGAAATCAACAACAAGAAATTACCATGTCATTGGATTTAGAAGAAATGCCTGAAAATCCTTTACTTCTTTCAAATCCAGTTTTTCACATTGATTTAACGTCATCACTAGGAAAAATATACGTTTTTGTTGTTAAAAGTTAAAATGACCTGGAAACAACGTTAATTCAACCAGTTTAACCAGTGGGAAGAATGTCCCTCCTTTATTATCAGTATGGATAGAGATGTAGTGGGCTTGGAATAACAAGGATTTTACATCCCATTGAGGTCAAACTTTTCATTTGTATTGCTTTTATTTCTTCCTACTTTATTACTTTATTTTTTAGATGCTAAAATATTGTGAGCCATAGATTTCCATCTCTTCAAATAACTTCAACTGCCAAATATGACATACATTGCAGCACATTAAATGTTGAATATGGTCTGTATTGTGTTTCCCTTCTTAAAATGTCAATTAATATCACGTTTTACTTTTGATGATTGTGGGAGCTACCCACCGAATACACTTTAATACAATTTTTTTTTTAATATAAGGAGAGCAAATCTTGATTGTTTTATGAAAGTTGCCCTGCAATATATGTCACAGCGCAAAATTATTTTTCCCAAAATCTGTAGTTTGTTTAAAGAACATGTACCTAAATATGTACCTAAATATTTAGGCCTATGATTTCTAAGTATTTATCATTATCCAATATAATATTTATTAACTTGTCATGTAATTAAGTAATTTTTCTCTAGAAATATAGTTTTCCAAAAGTATTTCCATTCTTAATTCCATGTTATGTTATTAAATTAGCATGTATAATAGAAAATCCAACTTGTATTTCTGCTTTAAAGAACTAAATGCTGAGTAGAGAGCTTACTGAGCAGACAAATTGAGTGAAATGTTCTATGAGTGAAATCATGAGTGAAACTATTCATTTGTGCTTTTTTTTTAACATTGATGCTATGTTTTAGTTTTATGTTGATACGGCTTGTTGTTGTCCTTTATAAATGAAGAGTGATATTTCCTTACATAACAGCCTATGTAGTGAGAAAAATTCTCCCCACCATAACCATATCTTTTCAGATGGGGATGAGTTTAATAATCACTGCCTTCATGAAAGAAAAGTTACAACAAAAATGTTTCTACAAAGTACTGTACATTTTGTACAGTTTTGTGCTGTTTTGTATGAGGAAAATATCAATATGATACAAATAAAGGCTACTTAAAACCCCCAAAATGTTGGATTTCTTTACTATAAGATCACCTGTTATTTTTTTGTAAACAATTTTTTTTATTGAATCACTTCAGAACCTATTCTCTATTTTAAACCTAACTGTTTTCTTGAATCTACATGTTCCGAAGCAGGTGCTGAGGCTAGACTCAATAGTGGTGGGAAAATGTAGTTAATATGTTTCTTTGGTTTTCTAATGAAAGGTGTAATGGTAGTTAATGGAAACAAGACATAGCTGCATAACCCCAGCGCGATCGTGTGATGAGTTGTCGGTTATTCAAAGCTGCTGGATGTTTTAACTTTTTTCTTTCACCTTTTTCTTCTCTATTTGTGGGTACAAGTCTTGCCACCAAATTCGGGAGTATGACAGTGATGGGCAGACAAGACGATTCCATAATGATAGCTGATTTCATACTTTTGTTTATGTGTACTTTTTACCTTAAAACAATCAAATTACAAAGAAATTAAATTAAATCAGGGCTGGAGTGTTTCATTTTTTGAAACATATCTATTACCAGGAAATTCATCTGGTTATCATGAGAAGTATGAAGTAGCGTAATTATTTAAGTAAGTTTCCACATTAATATCATGTTATTACCCATTTATTCTGTGCTGTAATGTAAAGTGCTTCCGAAATGTGTTATTAAATGCCTTTTTTTTGCTACACCTCCCAAAGAAGGCCTTTTAACAATATGTGCATATAAAAACGTATATCTATAACACGATCATTAACAAAAATTAATCATACAATTTTCACTTTCATCCAAAAAACGAAATACAAAGACGAGTAAACCCAATAACAAACTCATAAAAAGCTAGTTTTGCTTTATTGAATTGACAAGCAATGTAATTCTTGATCAAATGTGGTAGGTAATTGTTGCTTTTCTAAATGCACACAGGCTTGCCACTGTGAAAATGAACTTGGTGACTTGAACATAGATGTGTTGCTCTTTGCTCTGATCACCATGTCATTACTTATAATAACTTTGGTCAACTATAAACCTTAAATGGTATGAAAATGCCTTAATAATAACAGAGCATCAGTGATAGCAGATCGTCTAGCCAAGATCAACCACCACCCATTCATAAGATTGAAAAGATACAGCCATTTCTCTATTCAACTTGATTTCTCAAACATTATTTATTATAGGCTTATGTTCTACCACCATCTTGTGGAGAAAGACACAGGAGAGCAATGCCATTATTAAAGGAGCAATCTGGGATTGGTACATCCATTTTTTTTTACTTTTAAATATGAATGATATTATAGCCAGTGATTCTTGAAGAATATAACATACTAGTGGCACCCTGCTAGTAGACCTGAGTAGGCCTTTTCATCATAACCCATCATTAAAAGGACAATATCACTGAAATGTTGAGAAATAATAAGAAGTAGGCAACAGAACAAAATCACAAACACAACAAATAATTGATGATAGTGTCCAGTCTTGATCTTATTAGATTCTAGG